TGAGTTGCAATGGGCAAGAAAACCAATCTTTTTTATTGGTTTCTGTATATTATGTATGAACATGGCTGAAATGGTGTATCTCCAATGTGAGCTTTATGTCATTAATATAGAAGCTATAGAACTCAAGAATCAAGTTTAAGGAAAACACTTCTTACTAATCACTCAAAAGCTTTAGAAAAATCTCTCAAAAACTAAAGCACTCCAAAACTCAAATCACTCACAAAACACACGGCGTATGTCAACACACGACAAAGCCTTTTATAGTAAAACAGAAACCAAATCCCATAAGTAAAACATAAATCAAATCCTAGATAAACTCGGAGTAGGATAAGGTTGTTTCTCAAACTTATCCAATTGCTTGTTTCTCAAGCTTATCCAACAATCTTCACTCACATCTTCAACACCAATTAAGCTTCTCATCTCTTTGAACTTAATTCGTCCAAGTGACTTGGTTAGTATATCAGCTCGTTTTTCAATCCCAGGGACATGTACCACCTCGATTTTTTCTTTCTCAACACACTCCTTATGAAATGAAACCTCCTATGTATGTGCATGCTACGACCGTGAAAAACTGGATTCTTTGTAAGTGCAATTGCAGATTTGTTATCCACTTTAATAGTTACTCGCCTGCAATCTTCTCCAACGGTTCCACTTATGAGTTCTTGGAGCCAAATGGCTTGTTAGCTGCCTCAGTTGCTGCCATAAACTCATCCTCACAGGATGACAAAGCCACTATCTCTTGCTTAGTCGAACACCAAGTTACAGGGCTCTCACCAAGATAAAATATATGACCAGTAGTACTCTTTCCATCATCCATATCAACATTGTGAGAGCTGTCACTGAAACCAATCAGTCTTATATCTCTGCTGCGAGTGAACCTAAGACCCAGTGAACTTGTTCCTTTTAAGTATCTCGTTGCTTCAGAGCTGCTCCATGAGTCTCTTTTGGCTCTTGCATATATCTACTAAGTATCCCAACAGAGAAAGATAAGTCTAGACGGGTATGAAGTAGATACCTCAAGCAGCCAATGCTTCGGCGATACTCTGTTTCATCAATCTTCTTTTCTTTCGGAGCCTTTGAAAACTTAGCATTCATCTCCATTAGAACATGAGTTAAGTTGCATGAACTCATCCCAAACTCTTCGAGTATCTTCTGTGCATAGCGATTATGTTTTAGTATGACTCCACCCTCATACTGATGAACCTCTATTCCCAAATAATAGGTTAGTTTTCCAATATCACTCATCTCAAATTTGGCTCCCATCTCTATTTTAAACTTGTGTATCATCCGAAGAGAAGAACCACTAACTAGTAAGTCGTCTACATAGAAAACAACAATAAGTAGCTCTTGGTTCACTTCCCTACGGTATAGTGATGGTTCTTTTGAGCATCTTGTGAAGTCCAATCCGTACAGAATCTTATTCAGCTTAACATTCCAGGCTCTAGGCGCTTGACGTAAACCATAAAGTGCCTTCTTGAGCTTATACACCTTGTTTCCCTATTTGAGACTACTAAGGTGGGTGGTAGACTATTGGATCTTTTCCTGCAACAACAAATCCTTCAGGTTGTTTAACATATACTTCTTCCTTTAGATCCTCATGAAGGAACGCAGTTTTAACATCAAGGTGAGCAACCAAGCGTGCCTTAAACTTATTAATGCTTCCACCGATGTTACGCTTAAGTTTGAACACCCACTTAAGGCCTATTGGTTTCACTCCTTCAGGTAGCTCAACAAGATCCCAGGTGTTATTCTTCTCTATTGAAGAGATCTCATCTTCGCAGGCTTCAATCCACACCTTTAACTTTTTAGCTTCCTCAAAGCTCCACGGTTCATCATTAATCACCATCAACAAATGCTCACTTTCTACTTCTGCTATCAGAATGTAATCATCAAGGTGAGCAGGTTGCCTAGTCACACGAGAAGACCTTCTTAGCTGAGGTTGATCACTCTCTTCTTCACTACTGGTCTGCTCTTCTTCATCTATCTCACCACTTATATGAGTTTCATTGGAATCTTCTATTTCCTCTGCTTTATCACTCTAAGAGTTTATAGTCAATACTAAATTCTCTGGACTCATTGTTTGCTGTTTGTAATGTATGACTCCAATTCCATTCCTTTTCTTCATCAAATACAACATCACGACTCACTATGATGCGTTTACTTGAAGAATCAACCAACATATAAGCCTTTGAACCCGGTTCAGTTCCTAAGTGAACAAGTATTCTGGTTCTATCATCCAACTTCTTGCGTCCTGCACTTTCTGTTCTTGCATAACACACACAGCCAAACACTTTTAGGTGACAAAGATTCGACTTTCTCCCTCTCAATACCTCATACGGTGTCTATCCATCAAGAGATCTAGTAATGACTCTGTTTATAAGATATGTAGAATGTCTTATTGCTTCTCCCCACAACACATTTGTCATGTTCATATGCTTCAACAAGCTTCTTGTCATCTCTAGTAGGGTTTGGTTTCGTCTCTCCACCACCCCCATTCTATTGAGGTGAGTAGGGAGCAGTTAGATGCCTCTAATGCCATGTTTCTCGCAGTATAGCTGAAACTCGTTAGAGACAAACTCTTCCCCCTGTCTGTTCGAAAGGTTTTTATCTCAGCCTGTGTTTCTTGTTCAGCAAGTATCTTAAACCGTTTGAATTTTTCAAATGCTTCACTCTTCTCCTTCAACAGAGTAGTCCACATATATCGTGAATGATCATCAATGAGCACAAAAATATACCTTTTGTGTGCTGATGTCGCAGGTGTGATAGGTCCACATAGGTCCCCATGAATAAGTTCTAATGGCTTCTCAGCTCGGTACACTGTTGCTTGTGGATATGATCGCCTGGTTTGTTTCCCAAGTAAACAGGACACACATGTTTCTTTGTACTCATCAAAACTTGGGATTCCACTGACAATATCTTTATTGATCATCCACTTTATTGCTTCTTTATTGACATGACCCAAACGAGCATGCCATTTTGCTGATTCTGAAGCTGTTTTCACTTGCAGGCACTGAATTTGATCAACTTGCAGTTTACTTTGTAAAGGCGGTTTGGTGATCTTGTGCTTTTGACCATAACTTGTCCCAAGCGATCATAAAGTGTTAACGTATCTCCCTTTATACTCACCTCACAACCTGCTTCAGTAGCTTGTCCTAAGCTCAAAATATTACTTCTTAGACCAGGAATATAGTAGACGCAGTCCAAGGTTTTTTTCCTCTATTCTTGAACATAAAGCGAACCGAGCCTTTACCCTTTATATCAATCTTTGAGTCATCACCAAAACATACCAGACCTGTAACTGTTTCATCTAGATTGCAGAAGAATGGACGTTTACCACTCATGTGGTTACTTGCTCCGTTGTCAAGGTACCAAGTGTTTCTCGTATTACTTTCAGTCTCAAAACTGCTTGGATTGACTTTCTTCTCATTGAGGTAGACAACTTCATTCATCATTAACTTGTCTGCTTCTTGAGTATCTTCCTCAGTCTTCTCAACAGTTTCTTGCAGCTTTAAGAGTCTGTCCGGACAATGACTAGCATAATGTCCCTGTTTTTCACACTGAAATCATGTTATATGTGACAAGTCTCGGAGTTTTCCTTGCTTGTACGCCTTTCTCTGACTTTGATAATTCTCTGAGCGACCACGGCCTCTTCCTCGCCAAGTAGTGCGACCACCACGTCCTCTACCTCTGCCATAAGACTCAGTGTTTGCATACATTAGCTTATCTTTGTCACCATTTGTTTCTTCTTCTTCCTCTTCTTTATCTTCAGCAACTCTTTCTTCAAAAGCCTTTAATCTCCCAACAATATCTTCAAAGTTTGTTGTATTGAGATCCAAAAACTGTTCTAGAGAGGCAACCATATGTATATATTTCTTTCTCGGCAAGCTTTTGAGAAACTTTTTCACGAGTTTAGTCTCTTCCATTATCATCCTAGGGATGCAGCTTTTGATGAAATCTCCGACAATTTTCCAGTGAATGTATCAATGGTTTCATCATCTTTCATCTTAAGTTTATCAAAATCCGTCGTTAGGGTTTGTAGTCTAGCTTCCTTTACCCTATCAGCTCCAACATATCTCGCTTTTATTGCTTCCCAAACTTCTTTCGCAGAATCCATATCACCGACTTGTAGAGTTAATGCCTCAGGTATGGATTGACATATAAGCACCATAGCCAAGTTGTTCTTCTTCTCATCTTTTCTTCCAGATTCGATTGTTTCCCATACTTCATTAACCTTGAGGGCTAACTTCATCCTCATAGACCAGACCGTATAAATTGAAGATGTTATTGGAAACTTGATGGATGAAGTTCCAATACCTTTAATAATGAAAAGAAACTAATATTGTTATATGAATAAATTGTTTTTTTTTCTATTGCCATTGTTTCATTTTTTCAAATGACAAGAAATTTTTTATTAAAGAAATTACAAAAAATCAATTTTCTTTAATATTGAAAATATGACTTATTTAAAAAAAGTTTAAAAATATATTATCAGTTTTTATGGGGTTATTTAACGGATCAACGGATATCATAATACAGATTAATAGCGGGTTTTAAGATATATACCGGGCTGGCTTAAATTTTTAATTAAGAAATTTTTAATTAAATCTTAACTGAATTATATAAAAATTTCCGGATATACCGGTTCAACTATGGATCTGGGTCGGATATGGAAACATTACGTGAAAATCAAACATTATAACAAAACTTTTTTAAATATTAATAAAACAATTTTAAAATTTTTGTGTTTGAATAATTAATTTAAATAAATTTTATCAAAATCGTAAAAATATACCCGCGCTTTTAAAGCGCGGGTCAAAATCTAGTTATCTTTATAACAAATTAATGAAGACTACATCCACCCAAAACACAGTGACACTTGCCTCTGAAAAGAAGACAAATGAAGACGAGTCTGGTGGGAAATAATGAGTTTGGTAGTGGATTAGGTGGGTGGGGTCCTTTTGACACGACAGACAGGTCAAAAATAATTGGGAGGGACAAAATAAGAAACCAAACTCGAGTTGGTGAAACGTTTTAAACACAAAAGGGCAGAAATCGAGAGGTTGAGCAGAAGAAAGACAGAGAGATTCAATGGAGAGAGTGAATCAAACATTCTTCTTATCACATGGTTCTCCCACGTTGAGCATTGATGACAAGTTAGAAGCAAGACACTTCTTCAGATCATGGAAGGACAAAGTCTTTCCACAGAACCCCAAATCGATTTTAGTCATCTCCGCACATTGGGACACCGAGTTCCCGTCCGTCAACACTGTTCTGAGAAACTCCACTATCTACGATTTCAATGGTTTCCCGGATCCCATGTACAAGGTCTCTCTCTCTCTCTCTCTCTCCCTATTTCTTACGAAAGAAAAACTAATTGTCGTTGAAAAAATGCAAAAATTTCAAGTTTTGGGATCAATTACATCAAAAGTTTCAATATTTGTGGTCGCTTATGATTCTTGTAGCTGAAGTATGAAGCACCAGGAGCTATTGAATTGGCAAAAAGGGTTAGAGAGTTGTTAATGGGAGGAGGAGGAATGAAGCGTGTTGATGAAGATACAGAGAGAGGACTTGATCATGGAGCTTGGGTTCCTCTTATGTTGATGTATCCTGATGCGGATATACCTGTTTGTCAACTCTCTGTTCAATCATCTCAAAGTGGGACTTACCATTACAACATGGGCAAAGCACTGGCTCCATTGAAAGACGAAGGTGTTCTTATCATTGGATCTGGAAGTGCCACTCATAACTTGAGGAAGCTTGAATTTAGTATCACTGATGGCTCAGCGGTTCCTTGGGCTTTAGAGTTTGATCATTGGCTCAGAGATTCCCTCCTTCAAGGAAGGTATAAATTACAGTTACAAATCTTGTTTTTTTTAATGGTTAATGTTATAAGAGTCATTGTTGGTTTATGTTTTTGCAGGTATGGAGATGTGAATGAGTGGGAAGAGAAAGCTCCAAATGCGAAAATGGCGCATCCATGGCCCGAGCATTTCTACCCATTACACGTTGCAATGGGTGCCGTTGGTGATGATGCCAAGGCAGAGCAAATCCACACAAGCTGGCAATTTGGGACTCTGTCTTATTCTTCTTATAGCTTCACTTCTTCCCTTTGAAACATTTCATCTTTATATCCCTCGTTGTGTCTACTTTAATGTAAGCGTTGAGTATTTCACATATCTTTAATAAACTAAATCCTTGTATGCAAAATACAAACTCTTTGTGAATTGCAATGACAATAGTTTAGTTTGGTTTTTGTATATTATGGGATTGCCATTGATGTATGAAAATGTTGCGTATCTGAAGAATTTAGGTATTGTAGCATTAGTAACTACACATAAATATTTCTGTAACACTTGTAACAGGTCAGAAATTGATTGAATGTGATGGAAAACTTCCGCTCTGGAGTTTTAACAAAACCTTTCTATAATAGCTTTAAATATATTCATTAATTGCGATATAATCCCTATAATAACTTTCTTAAGTAATATTTGTGATGAAGTTTCAAGACACTGCAAACCAGATTGGGATATTAAGATTGACTCACTGCTACATGGACATCGAAATCATATGGACTTCAAGGTTTTTTAAACTACAATCTTCTTTATATGGAGGGAACTTAATGTCAGACGCCACAACGAAGTTTGGAACATTCATGAGCAGGGCTGTATCATTTTCATACAAGTTTCCACATCAACTAGAAGGCATGTTGATGATTAATCTGGACCCTTTCTAGGTCTAGGATCTCTTTAGATCACTCAAAAAAAAATTGTTTTAGTTTTTCCGTTTATCTAATTTCTTTTTTATTCTTTCTTACAAATCCTTTTCTTGTAAATGAGCATATTTGTTGATCAGTAAATGTAACAATAACAAAAAAAGAAAAATTTAAGAAAAATATAATAGTAGAAAAATATATATAATAGTAGAAATGCATTTAGGTAAATTAAAAGAAGGTAATGCTCCTTTACTCGTGTGAGTAACGATTTCCTTTACTCATTTGATTTCATGTTCCCGGTTGGCTTTAGTTCTTCTCAGGTTCATATTTCAAGTTTAAATTGCTGACAAAAAAACAAAATCCGTAAACGTTTTAATCTAAGTTTTTATTTTCTAAGACTTAGTTACAAGTGTTCGTCCTACGTTCATTAGCTTGAGAAGAATTTTTGAGTTTCAATTTACATGCACAAGTTATGTTGGAAAGGGATTGAACACCCCTCTACAAGGTCCGTCGAACAACAGGCTTCAGCTCATTTGAGGACGGTTCGATTGAAAGAGAGAGCAGATCGAAAGTTCGAACGACCGGTTTACTTCACTAACCGGCCAACTAGTCGAGTCGAACCCAGTTCTACGGATTGTTGCTAGCCCAAAAGCCCATTAAGCACGAGATCGATTTATGGGCCTTTCGAACGAGCTTTAGGGCGAACGAGATAAGAACGAATGGGGAAGTATAAAAGGACGACAGAGGGGAGAGAGAAAGGGGATCCGAAATTAAACACAAGAATCCTAACGACAAGATCTAGGGTTTATCAACTGATCGAACTCCCTTGTATTCTCGTCCGCGCTTTCATAAAAGCTCTGACCTTTCCATTCCTCTTAACCTTCCTGTAATCACGTCAGTCATCGCATATTGATTAATAAAACGTCTTCTTAAAACCCACAAATCGAGTTTAACCTTTTTTCTATCGATCGAACAAACTCGGATTCAACATTTGGCGCCCACCATGGGGCCTTATGAAGTAGCGTTAAAAAAATCAGTATACGTCCCGACGATTCCCCCGCCACCGACGCACCAGTACAAATACCGGTCGCCGCGACTTCAGCGGCCAACGACATGATGCAGCGCTCATGAACCACCTCGAACGACAGGAGGAAACCAATAGAGTCATGAACGGACGATTAACCGTGCTCGCTGCTTCTCTCGCCTCGACCGACGGTGAGGCTGGAGAAACGGAGACAGCCAGACGCCGGCTTTTTACTGCAACAAATCCTACGCCTGCTGGCGCCGGTCCTCCGATTAGTGGAGTAACTCATGAAACTAACCCCGCCGGTCAAACGATCGACGGACTGGACGCCGCCACCAAACTCCAGATCGATGAATTGAGGATGTCGATGAAGGATATCCATTCTAAAGTACACCATGTCACCACCTCCGTCCCAGAGATTGAACGCGTCCTCGCTACCACGCTTAAAACCCCGTTCACGAAGCGGATCACGTAAACCAAAATCAAAAAGATCAACAAGCTCCGTCTCCCAACGTACGCCGGCGAGACAGATCTGACCGATCATGTGACGGCATTCAATATAGCGATGGGAAGAACGAAATTCTCCGACATGGAGAGGGATGCGAGTTTTTGCCAACTCTTCATCGAAAGCCTCTTCGTACCGGGACAGACCTGGTTTTCGCGACTGACCGAAGGATCGATAAACAATTTCCACGACCTGTCGGTGCAGTTTTTGAAACATTACATTATGTTCACTCGCCAAGAAGTGACCTAGGCAGATTTGTGAGAGATGTCTCAATCGGCCACCGAGAGCCTCAAGGACTTCATGGAAAAATTCAAAAGAGGTTGTAACACAGATCGAAATTCCCGATCAAACGGCCGTCAAAGCTCTACGAAATTTGTTATGGATACACTCCAAATTTAGAGACGATCTCTACTCCAATCCCACAATCTCCCTCCAAGATGCGTTACATCGATCCCAAAACTTTATCCGGCTGGAGGAGGACAAGCGATCGTTCATCAAAAAACAAAACAAGCTAAAGTAAGCCGCTTTGAAGGCGGCCGAGGGTCACCACGGACCTAGGCAGCATGCGTCTTACAATAAGCCGGATAAGAAGAAAGGCCTCGTTAACACCATCTCAGATGAAAAACAGCCAGACCCGGCATTAGCTGTCCGAGGACAAAGGAGCAACAAGTGGACGTTGGAAGTCGACGGAAAGAACAGGCCGCTCGAACAAACTCTTCCAATAGCACATACGACGTGACCAAGTGGTGCGGCTACCACAAAGCGTATGGACACGAGACTAAGGAATGCAACCATCTCAAAAACTTCCTCATGACGAGCTTCGTCGAGAAACACGCTCATCCCAAGCCCCCGAAAAAACAGCCCGAGGCAAATAGCAAAGGCACGAGAAAGAAAAAGACAGAAAGAGTAATGATCACAGTAATTTAGCATATCGATCGCCCTCCAAGGAGGATGCCGCCCCTTCGCACGAAGATGAATCTGACTCTGACGAAGAGAAACCTACGTCCCGCCGAAAGATTTTCACGATCAGGACAACTCCTTCTCCTTCTTCACCAGGCGATAAACAAACGGAGGAAGGACAATCCTATCCATCTACCTTGGAGGACATGCAAGAGAACGACCCACAGTCACAACACGATCTGCGCGAGTCCCTCAAATGAAAGACCGAGAAGACGATCGCTAAACCTACCCATGCAGACCTGCAAATGACGATCGCAACCTCGAAAGTCAGGAAGCTGAATACGATGGACGCCCACCACCGGCTCGACGCTAAAAAAGCGACCTTCGATCAATAATCAACTCCCGAGTCGGCAATCTGCTTAACAAGCTCAATCGATTGACCACCATGCTGGGCAAAAAAACGGAAGACCTATGTGCACTATTGATCGATGCAAAGTTGAAACGCTTAAATGCGCCCGAGCGATTGAACATGATCTTGGGAGGATCGCCCCCCCCCCCCATATCGACTCAGTTAGTTTAGTTAAAGACTTCCGCATGAGGGCAGTCACCGCAAAGAACCGGTGCGCCATTAGGGAAGATGTTCCCCAAATCACCTTCTCTGCTGAGGATGCCAAAGGAGTTCACATGCCCCATAACGATTCCCTCCTCATAAAACTCGGAATTGGCGATTGCGAAGTAACTAAATTCCTCATCAACACCGGTAGCTCGGTCGACCTCATCTTCAAAGAGACTCCTGAAAAGATGGGGATCGATCTCCGCACAATCAAGCCTTCCGCATGATCCCTGATAGGATTCAACAGATCGACAGAAACGATGCTCGGCACCATTCGTTTACGGGTCCATGTTCAAGGCGTGAGCAAGAATGTCAAGTTCTCTATAATCGACGTAAAAACTCCATATAACGCGATCCTTGGAACACCGTGGATCCACGCGGTGAAGGCAATCCCATCAACCTACTACCAATGTATCAAGTTTCCTGGTACAGACGGTCGAATAATCACCCTCCGCGGCGATCAGGCCTCCGCACGCAACCTCCACGTTGCGGAGATAAAGCTCTGCCGGTCGTCCTCTCATGTGAACGCCATCGTCAGGCTAATTCAAAAAATCCTTCCCTTCAAGGAAGAGATCCTGGAAATACCCATCGATGGAAATTATCCAAGCAAGACCATCCGGATAGGTGCTCACCTGCCGAACGACACCAAAGACATGATGATTTCCTTCTTAAAGGAAAATGCATCAACTTTCCCTTGGACGACCGCCGATATGAAAGGGATAAGCCCTTCCATTACGACTCACGAGCTGAACGTCGACCCAACAATCAAACCAGTTCGGCAGAAAAGGAGGAAATTGGGCCCCGAGCGTTCGAAGGCGGTGAACGAAGAAGTCGACCGATTACTCAGCGCAGGGGCGATCACGGAAGTCAAGTACCCCGAGTGGCTAATGAACCCCGTGGTGGTGAAGAAGAAGAACGTGAAATGGCGAGTGTGCGTATTTTTCACCGATTTGAACAAAGCTTACCCGAAGGATAGCTTCCCCCTCCTGCATATCGATTGCCGATGTTGGGAAAAAATATCCAGGCACCAGATTCCTCCAGCCCCTGGGCTGGGCACCGGCCTCTAGACCCCGGCCCCAAAGGGACCCAGGGCCTGGACCTTGCCTTCAGGTTTCCCGGGCCCGACCCATGTTCCAAAACCGACCCTTGAGTAAAATGGAAGTTCTCCATACATGGAAACTCTTCCATATTCGCCAATATGGAAGAGTTTAACCTAATGCGAGCTGACATCTACATCTATATAAGTGGAACCCAAACCCCAAATAAGGGATAGACACTTAGAGATTCAGAGACTAGATCTAGGCGGCTAGAATCAGGGTTCATACACCAACATTGTAGCCCCCCATTCAAAATACCTAATAATACGTCTCCTTCTCTATTGTTTACTGTCTTGTTCCTCTATTTTTTCCCTACCTCTCATAAACATACTCGCTTCTCTCCATCTTAACTTGAACCTTCTTGTGTTCCGTAGTACTAAAACGACCCTACACAAAAATACCATAACAGCCTAGTCGAGTCGACGCTGGGAACGAATTACTATCATTTATGGACGCCTTCTCGGGATACAACCAAATCATGATGCATCCTCGTGATCGGGAAAAAACAGCATTTATCACAGATGTAGG